GCAGGCAGGCAGGCAGGCAGCATTGTACATCAATGGGATAAATGTGTACTAGTAGTTTCTGTGCGCAGGGCTTCCCGGACCGCCTCGGTGGCTGGCTGGCTGCCTATGTACTAGTGTATTGTGGGTCAGTCGAGTGTAGAAGAACAGGATGCTTGCCTATGTATAGGCATGTCATAATTGCCTATGTATAGGCATGTCATAAGGCCAATGTCTTTTTTTTTTTTTTTCCCCATCAGTGCCATCACTGATTTGGTTTTCATCAGCAGACTGCAAGGTAATTGAGAGCAACAGCCACAACTACAGATGGCTGTCCAAGCTCTCACTTTTCTTGTCCCTGCCATATCAGTGTCCTCAAGTAACCGGACTCTTTCCTAGCAGAAAAAGGGACGTGTTCTTGCCAGTGGGGAAAAAGGACACTATCACATTGCCGTCCTTGCAGAACAAGACACTGCCTTACCGGAAGAGGACCCTGGGCATCGTCCAGGCGGAGGGTAGTGTCCCACCGAAAAGGACGCTGTCTTTGTGAACACTGGACGTTGTCCTTACAAGCAAGGATACTGGATTCAAACTCGGGTCTGTACTTCAACAGTTCATGGGTGTAGCAACTCAACTAGGCCCGTTGGTCAAGCAAAGGACATTGTCCTTGGGAACAAAGGAGACTGTCCTTGGGACCAAAAGACACAGTCCTTGGGACCAAAGGACGTGGTCCTAGTGGAGAAAGGACACTGTCGTTGTGGATAATTGCTGTGCCCTAGTCTTCTAGTGGGATATGACACTGCTGAAGAGTTGTGATTGGCAGCCTTTTTCAAGGAAAACACTGTACTTCGCTGAGCGCAAAACTGCTATGATGACTCTCTTCGTGAGCCTGGGATTGATGTTCAAGCGGAAAGTAACAAAGGAAGGGGACGCAGAAGGATGGAGGAGGTGCAGAGGAACAGGAAGGTGGAGATAGACGACGGACGATGGTAACCGTTTAACAGGTTTTCGATGAGCAATCATCTGCTTCTGTGTATTTTCTGGATTGGTGAGATTGCAGCCTATGTTCAATGAACTTCAATCGGTATGTAGATGTGTTGTGCTATGAGATTCGCAAGTCCCAACCTTTAGTGATGATGATGGATCATGACAGCACAGTGTTTTTTTTTTTTCTCCACATGATTTCCGTTTCTTGAAAGCTGGAAGAGATACAACGCATGCAGCATGACGAGGTCTTCTATGAGCATTATCATTTGCTTTTTTATTTCAAAAACATTTGTTTTTTGGAAGAAAAGCAGTGTTGCACACGCCGACGGTCGGCGGCCCTTGACTAGTCGGCTGCCGACCCGCCGACCGGTCGGCTGGTCGAGCACCTACCGGTCGGGGTTTGTCGTCACCCCGCAAAAAGAAAGAAAAACATTTTTTTTTTTTTGGGGGGGGGTCCAGAACCCCGAATAACACCACCAGCACCCCCACAGCGGCCCCCAATACGTCCATACACCCCCATACTGCCCCCAAGACCCTCATTACGCCCCCCCAATACCCCGTATACCTGCCCTATACCCCCCTATACCCCCTCTATACCACCCGTATACTCCCACCCCAACCCCCCATCCCCCCCCCATCCCCAAAAGTTTCTCAGCGAATTTGGGCTGTACTCAGCAAGCGCAGTACAGCCCCCAACTCAGATTTGAAAAAAAATCAGTGGATGGTTGTTTTCTGACTGGTCGGCGGACTGCCGACCGGTCGGCCCCGGTCGGTCGGGGCAAAACGGTCGGCGGTCGGGGTCGGCGGTCGGGGTCGGCGGTTGGGGTCGGCGGTCGGGGTCGGCGGTCGGGGTCGGCGGTCGGCGCTGGTGCAACCCTGAAGAAAAGAGAAAAAAGGGCTTGCACTGCCTTGCAGGGCAATGCAGGCTCCTTTCCATCTTTCTGTCAGATCCCTCAGAGTCTCCTCTTCCCCCAGTCCTCTGGCTGCCAAAATCAGTTCATTAATTAGATAATAAAAAAGTTAAAAAAAATGCATTTCTTAAGCAATCGTTTCGAAATGGTTGATGAACTCGATGATTAGTTTAGTTATTTTATTACTAAATTATTATCAGTCACTTTCAAAATGGTCGACCAGTTGGTTCGCCCGCTTGTGAACCAGTCGGTTGTTCATGGAGCAGCTGAGCTTTAGCAAGTGGTACCCGCGGTTCTAATGAGCTTGGTTGAGACGGTGAGGAGAAGGCGTTAGCGAGGGACACAGATGTAAGCGATGCTGGCACGGGGGGTGTGCCGGGGGGTGGGCGTTGAGGGCATGACAGGGGCT